GGGTTGGCAGGACCCATTGGGACACATGCAGGTCTGTTCCCCTGCAGGCACCAGTTTACACTGGTTTGGGCTGGGTTAGGTTACATTTCCAAATCCCCAGTAACAGAATTAGGCATTTTTCCTTCTTCCCTCAGAGAGTTCTAAATGACGGAGCAATTTCAAATCAGAAATATGTCCAACAGTGAATATGTTGTTGGGTCTGCCTAGGAAATGGATTATTAGATGTTGAAACAATTCTATTTGCCAAACTTTGCAACTTGACGTTTTTGTACTTAACACTGCCAAAGGATTATGGGTACTGAGGTACAGGTGATGTGCTTCCAGACATATTCATATTGCTGGCTCCCAGGAGAAATATGACATACTCCTGTTTTAAGGATCATACTACCAGGTAAAGTTGCACTAAAACGAATAAATCATGACAGGTCCCTATTTTATTTTATGAGATGATAAATAACTATTTACCCTCACAATAGCACCACACTCTCTGATTTCACTAAACAAGAGAACAAGACAAGTCGAGTTTATGGGGGTGTCCAGACTGAGGCACAGGGAATATTTTCTTTGAATTACCCAGTGGCCTCCTTCCTGCAAAAGATCCTGACCGCTGCTGGCCAAAAAAGGGTGGGTCTTAAATTTGAGAGGATTTTTTTCTTTCTGTTTTAAATAATTCAGAATATTAATTATTATCACTATTAATTATTATTAAAGTAAGTCATATTTGCCTCCTCATTGCTTCCCCTGTCCATGCCTCAAGATTTTTCTAATGCGGTTAAAAGACCGTATGGACTGCTGCCTACATGGAGCACTGCTTCTTAGGACTGCGAGCACTCCCCAGGCTCCCGCAGCACATGCAACTCGCCCCTTCCAGTGCACCTTAGTGGGTGCACTAAGCACCTGAGGGTGTTTGCTAAGAATAAAGAGAATGCGCTTCATTGATGATCAGTCATCAGTCTTCGCTCCTGCTCTCTGGAAGCCCACTGCGAGGCTCTCTAACCTTTTCTTCCCCCACTCGTGACTGTTTCCCTCCGGACCTCTCTCTGCCTGTCTGCAAGCTGCCTCTGAACCTGAACCTTTGCCAAGCCTCTCATTCTTTGAGCTCCACTTTGCAGCCTGGGCTTCCACTGGAGACTTTCTCTGACTGAAGTTCGCCTCCAAACATTGAGGATCTGCCCTTTTCCTTGGTGCCTTACTTCATGCGGTGCCCTGCTCCTGCACCTCCTGCTCTTCACTGGGGAAGCAAGAAGGTTGGACATGGTTGCTGGTTTTCAGTCCAGAGCAGAAGGGTTCCCAGGGGCCTTCAAAGAGATCCCACAACCACCCTTTGCACTCCGATTGGAGGTTCCTCTTCTTTCCATTTTTTTAAACTGGGCTTCCCAGAAATGTTTCTTTTTGGGGGGAAATGTGGCTTAAAATGAAAAGTTTAAAATGAAATAAACAGGATGATCTAATATCCGTCCCAAAGCTCTCAGACTCTTCAGAATGCCCTTCTCTCCCACCTCCTGACGCGCCTTGGGAGGGAAGGCGGTAAGTAACACTTTGTAGACAACATTTTGCACTGGGCTCCAGCCATCAGTTCTTCTAATGGGTCTTGGGCAGCTATCCCAGGCCAGACAAGTCCCATTAAAGCTGAGAACAAAACCAAGGGATTGGATTTCTTTTTAAATTAGGAGAAAAATATGATCTAGGTTCCTGGAAGCAGTTAAGATGCTTTTAAAAGATGTCTTAAATAATAACGCTCTTAAGCTCGTCTTAGTTTTTGAAACTTCTTAGGCAAGTTTCTGCTTTGTTTTGGTAGAAAGTGGTTCTAAATATTGGTATGAAATTTGACTACTCTGGTGTCAGGCTGAGGCATGGAGGGGAAAGAAAACCAATATTTATCAAGTACATACTGAGCTTCAGGGACTAGATGTAGATTAACTGGGGGAATCCTCGAGAGAGGCCCCTGGGTCCCCATTCTGTAGATCGGTGGCTGCGAGAACTTAAGTCACGTGCCCACATAGCTGGTGAGACAAGAACCCAGCATTCAGACCAGGCCTGGATGATGCCTGGATTCACAGTGTTCTGCAGAGAATGTGGTATCTGTAAGGACAGCTTTACTCGGGAAAGCCTTCCGGGGTCCAGAGAAATCTCTTCACAAAAAGGGCACTATATCATTTATTTTCTAAATGACTAACTAGATGGGATGCTGGGCCAGCAGGCATCAATGGTCCCATCCTGGGCAAACCAGGTTGCCCAGTCACCCTTTCCATCACATAGGCCAGACAAATCCTTATGACGCCAACAAGCAAGGCTGCCACTCAGAGAATCAGAAGTAAGTGGCAGTACCAAAATTTTAACCCAAGTCTCTCTCTAAAACCCCTCTTCCCCCTGCTACATCATACCTTCTCTTGACACGCTGTCTTCCCGAGCCCAAAGCCATGACCAAATTCCCTGACTCGTAATATTTAGGACACTGGTCAGCACTGGGGATGGAGATAGTTCCAACACAAAACTTTATTATCCTGAGCAGTTTTTCAGAAGAAAAACAGCCAGACCACATCTTGGTTCTAAGACCAAATCAGTCACTGTGTAGTCAGTGAGAACTGCGTAACTCGGGCTTATTGATATGGATGTTACGAGGAAGAGTGGCCCCCTGTGCACTTCCCCCCCCAATCCCTCTACTTTTCTCTGTTCTGTATTAAGGTTGGAAATTCGTTTACTTATTGAAGCATTGTTGATGCCGATGAGCTGAAATAACCAGAGAGCTCACGTGGATAAGTGGTTACCAGCTCAGGAGAGAAAGCTGTATTAACCACACGATTTTGTTTTATGTATTTCTGATGCTTTGGCATCTGGGGCCTGGCTGGCCCTGGACACTGCCCCTCCCTGGGCTGACCAATCCCTAGAGAGAGTAAATGATTGGCCTTCTAGAATGACTTTCATATGCAAACTAGCCAATCGGGAGCTCCTCCTCAATTGGGGTTTCACACTGTCTCCCCAGGGCAGGTACCAGACAACTAGGGACAGCCCCTACGCCCCAGAGCCCACTGAAAATGTTCAAACCAGACAAGATAAGCCGGCTCGCCCATTCCTTCCCACAGAAACCACAATAAGGGGTCTTGCCCACATTTCCCCCTGACTCCTGCCCCCTGACAGATGCTGGTGCCTCGCCTCTGGGCCCCCGCCCCCACCATGGCACGGCATGGCCCCTCCTCTGGGGAACTGTGAGTAATAACTATCATTTCAACGGCGAGCATCTCCTGATCCGTTGGCCTCACCGTGCCTGAACAATAATAACCCCTACATTTTAAAACAGAAGCCATCCCTTCTGAAAGCCATTTGCCCCCTACTTCTTCCTCCTTATAAACGGTGTTAGTTCCTGAAAACGGCAGCAGTGGGCAAGGCCACGGTACCTCCAACCCAGAACTCTGTTTTCAGCAAGAACCACAAAGGGCCTGCCTTCTCCCCGGCCCTGGGAAAGCAAGGCAGCCACGAGCAGGCCCAGTTTGCTAGGGCTCCCCCAGTGAACTGCAGCACTGCCATCTGGGCACACTCCACGCAAGCAAAGGAAACAAAACCATCGACACCAAGCCAGGTAACTAATCACAGCCCTTGCAGAGCCGTTTGCTCCTGTTATCATCACCATGGAAATCTGGGAGCTGCCTAAAGGACTTCTGGAGGAAAACTGCGGGGGGAGGGGAGGGAAATACATAAAAATATGCAAACCAAATTTAATGCATTCAACTGGCATATGTATATATATAGAGAGAGAGGGAGAGATACTGACATATATCAGTAAATATATATATATTTTGCTGATGCTTCTAATAGTAAAGACATTAAATGTAGAAAAATGGAACATTCGTAGTTAAAAGAAATCCCAGTATTGCTGGCATTTCCCCATGGCATTCCTGTTAGTAATTAGTCTCAAAACGCCTTTGCAGAGTTCTTGTTTGTTTCCAAGTTAGGACACAAATGTGTTTCCCTGGAAGAACAAAGTCCATAAATGTTTTATGTAAGCGAGAGAAACGAACTGAATTCATCCCAAGAACACTTGTCACCACAAAAAATTAGGACAAAAAATCTGCTTCGCCCACATCGGTCGAACGGTGTCTGCCTGGGAGGTGTTCGGGAGCCTAGAGTGGAATGATAAGATGCACTCGATTTTTTTTTTCTTCTACTCACCCTTTAGCCAATGTTGCTATGCCAACGTCGGTTAACTTCATTCCTACACCTACAGGAAGGGCGAGCAAAGACAGAATTTGTGTTACACGGGCTGCTCAGAAAGGATGGGAGAAGGGGAGGTAGTGACAGCCCTTCCTGCAGAAACACACGCTCTCCTGGCCCATCAGCAGAGGCCTCTTTCTCTCAAGGCTCACAGCCTTTCAGACATGCACCCAGCTTTGTGGGACCTCGACAGGGAAAGCAAGCCTCTGACACGGCAGTTCAAGGAGTCCGCCTCTCTAGGGTGGTGGCTTTGGGCACCTGATCCAACTCGGCGGACCTCTCCTTCGATCTCACCATTGCGGCCGCTACTAGCCTCTGATGGCGCAGACACACCCCACCAGTCTGGCCCGGGCAGCCGGACCCCGGGCCTGAGTCTTGTCCTATCTGAGCCAGGCTGGGACGGCTGTACCCTCCACAAGCAGCAGGTGACCTGCTCACAGACGAGCCTGGCAGCACAGATACCAGTCTGGGCTGTGGATGAAGGAACCAGCATCCTGCCAAAGCCAATCTCATGTAAGCACTGTTTTCCTAGACTCAGGAAAGGAACCCTAAAGGGTTAAGGCTCTGATTCAGCAGAGTCCCCCGGAGCTGGGCAGAAATCCAGGCCGTGCTGCTATTTGGGCCTGCTCGGCAGCCAGAAGCAACGAGCCCTGCCTCTCTGCAGCACACCTGTGGGCTGAATCAGACACGGCACTTTGGGTGAGCCAGGGAGCATTTTAAAAGCCCCTTTCACAGTCGGCAATCAATCCATCTCGTTCTTTTAAAGCTGCTAACGACTAGGACATGTAGAATGCTGCATATAGCTTTTATTACAGGGACTGTGCTTAAAAAAACTAAATAAATAAAAATAAGACACCAAATTGCAAAAGCCCTCTTTGGATACCTCATTTTGTGAAAAGTTATAGTGAAAAATCACAGCTCTAAGTTGCATAGAAGTCCAATTTTAAATGCCTTTCGGCCCTGGCCGGTAGCTCAGTTGGTTAGAGCATCGTACTGATACGCCAAAGCTGTGGGTTTGATCCCTGGTCAGGGCACATACAAGAAACAACCCATGAATGCATAAATAAGTGGAACAACAAATCCATTTCTCTCTCTCTCTCTCCCCCCTCCCTCTTTCTCAAAATCAATCAATCAATAATTTTTTAAAAGTCGTTTGGCAAAAGTTGCTTGAACTTGTGAATTGCTTTTTCTTGCTTCTCACAGTTACCAGCTATCACTTACAGTTTAGAAAAACAGAATATGATTTTTAAAAGGAAATGGCTCTCTCTGGGTTTAATAATTTGCCAGCAATTCAACCAAGGTTATGAAAGTTCTCTATAGGATCGTTTAAACTTTAGTGTGTAGCTATTAAACTGTGTTGAGGATAACAGTCATCTCCAGTTTGTCTCTGATGAAGGAAAGAAGTAGACAGCAATGTGAGTGTGTTCTCCGGAATTTGAGTCCTTGGGTCTTCTGGTGACAGTTTCTTAGGAACCCTGGGGGGTCTCACTAGTGTGCAGATCCTAGGACCAGATCCCAGGTTCAGCTTTCCCTCCTCAAACCTGCAGGACCCACCACAATCCTATCAACAAGCAAATACAACCAGGGAGGGGATAACTTTTAAGAGTCTGAGAAGGTAATGGTTGAGTTTAGGTTTGTTTATTTCGCGCTAATTCCAGTGTCTCAGTAAATTTAAAAAATACGGATATTGTTTAGAGACTGGATGTACTATCTTGTGCCATAAAAATGAGGGCAATAAAAAGACTTTTCCCAGCAGCAGCAGAGGGTAAATAAACGCCGTTGTGAAACAGCACATTAAACCGCACACCTCATTTACGGAGAGAGGTAATAGTCCACTAGCGCTGTTTACTGTGCCTGGAAACGAAACTAGCTGTGCATGAAGCTCCAGGGTGTTGCTTTTCAGCACAAGAACTGTATCTACTGCAAAATGAACTCTGAAGAAGAGATGCGGGGCTTCAATGGCTGCACAGCAGCGTCTAATTAGAATAGATGGCTGTCTGCTGAGACCACACTTGTGCCGGGGAGTCTTTTAAAGCTAGCGGGGATGGCTGCCTTCAATTTGCAGGTCAGCCCCATCTGCAAGACTGTAATGTTGTACTTCCCAGCTGGACTTCGAGAAGTCCCTCACAGGAGCCTTTGACTTCAGGAGACACTTGGAAATCTCTTGTCAGATTGTAAATCTGTGGGTTAGTGCAAAGAGCTTGGTTTTTGGAGTCAGAAATCTCAATGAGTTTGAGTCTTGGAGCCCTCTGCTTATTAGCTGAGTGACAGCAGGCAATTAAATCATTGCCTCTGGGCCTCTGTTTTCTCATCTGTAAAATGGGGAATCGTAATATCTTCTTCACAGAGTTATTTTGAAAATTAAACAAAAATAACAGGAGGAAATGAGTGCATACAAAAACGAGTGAAACCCAAGGAAGGTCTGTCGTCTAGTTAATCAGGCTGTGCCAATGGCAGTCTCCTGGCTCTGATCATGCACGACAATTATGTAAGATGTTAGCATTAGGCAAAGCTGGATGAAGGGTGCACGGGGACCTCTCTGTGCATTTTTGCAACTTGTGTCTATGGTTATTCCAAAATAAACACTTTTTTTAAAAAAATAGGGAACATTTGCTTCACTAAATGTTTTGCCATCACATTTAATCTTCACAACAACCCTCTGTGAAAAGTACTGAGGCACAGAGAGGGGAGTAACTTGCCCAAGGCTGACAGCGAGCAAGTGGAGGAACAGGGGATAGAAGCCAGGGGCAGCCCTGCTTTTCACCACCATGCTAGTGCTAGATCTTAGGGTCCTGGCACAGAGTGATGTCTGATACTTAGCAGGCATATAATTATAGTTCAGATTTTCTTTAGCATGATTATTTGGAAAGGAAAGAATAGGAAACCCCTGTGGCAGAGCTATATTGGTGCCCCACCCATTGCCCTCACACTAACCACTTCCGTGCCACACCAGCATTGCTTTGCCTGAGAACTTTCTCTGATCACAGGAGCCTGCTGTGCTCAGTTAGGCTTGCCCATGTGCAGGTGCAGCCTCTCGCTGGGAGCTAAAGGGGCTCACTCCCTGGGTGCCAGGATCCTGAGGCGTGTTTTCTGCACAGGCTGCCAGAGCTCCCTGAGGAGGCATGAGCTCAGGTGCCCACTGTGGTGACTGGCTGTATTATAAGGTCCCCTACTGGCTGCCTTCCCTTTCCCTGTCACACTTCCCCTCTTCCCTACCAGTGTTTACTGGGATCCCCTCCCAAATATTTGTACTTGAATATTTGTGTGCAGTGAAGGATTAACCTGGGCCAAATAAAGATTCACTCCTCATTCAACTCCAAGGGGTAATTTCTAAGCCCTTGGAATGTCCTGCCTGATGAAAGTAGCTTTGTCTACTTGGGACCTTGGGCCATGTGGTATCACCTTGACCTCTGGAGAGACTAGAGACCAAGGTCAATTTCACAGGCAGGCAGGCGGCCTACGTGACGGACGCCCAATAAAAACTCTGAACACCAAGCCTCATGTGAGCTCCCCTCATTGGCAGCTCTCCATGCACGTTGCTCCATCGCGGCTGGGGAAGCAGCACCGTCACCTGGCTCCACCAGGAGAGGACAACTGGGGGCTGCGGCCTGGTCTCTCCTGGACTCTGCCCTACCACCTCTTCCCTTTGTGGTTTGAGTCTATGTCCTTTGGCTGTCATGAACTGTAACCATGAGTATAACGGCTTTTCTGAGCTCTGTGAGTCCTTCCAGCAAATTAATGAACCTGATGGTGGTCTCGGGGACCCCCAACCTGCAACTTGTCTCAGGGCTGCTTCTGTAGGAAACCTAATTATGACACCCCCGCTTCATACAACAGGTGCATTTCTAAAAATGTGTGTAGAAATTTAAAACATGCTTTAAATTCATCAGGGGAGCCTGAAATCTAAAGTAACTATGGAAGATCCTTTTGCCTACTAAAAATGATTACATCTAAATTTAACTTTTGGCACATCCCGATTTTCATATATACTTCTGAATCTGTGCCTGTTGAGGATATAACAATAAAGTCAACCTTTGATTGTCTGTTGTAATGGGAAAGCATTATAAATTATCAAAATGTACTGTATGAGTCCATTTGCCTGGTCAATTCAGGTTCCTTGTCACACCTTGTTTCTGATGAGACCTTAATAGCACCTTCTGCTGGTGAAGGTGCTTAAAGGCACCCAGCCAACCTCTCCTTCTTCCCTCCTCACCCCCAGGGACACCCGGGCCCACAGCATCCCCGGGGCCCAATCAAGCTGCTTTCCTCACCCTGCATGTCTGTGACCAGGAGGCAGCCACCTGTTTTCTGGTACACCCAGTGCTGGAAGGTGCAACACTTCTGACCGGCCTCCGATTCTCTTCTCAGGAAGTTGATTTCCTTTCCATCCCTGATGGAATACTTCACAAATTCTCCAATCAGCTCCTCCTCCACTGTTGCATATGGGATGTTGTTCTCAGGCCGATGGATAAGAAAAATGGGAATGATCCTGGGAGGGGAGGGAACAATGGCACACGTCATGTCCTCAGATGGGAGCAAAAACCCTGAGGGCATTCTATCCTCACCTGGAGCAGCGGGGAGCTGCAGAATGGACCCCGGCTCCATTAGATTTAGATAGAAGCCCCCCATAGTTATCAGCCAATGAGTAAAAGGATGGGTTTCTGTTTTCATTTGTCTCTGGAGTTGGTCAGAAACACCTCCTGGAAATGAAGTTTAATTACTCAGGTACAAATGAATGTCTCATTATAGTCATATCTCAATGACCCATTGGTCACGTGACTATAATCCATCTATCCATCCACCATCTATGCAACCTGCCATCCTTCCTGCTGTCCTTCCTTCTTTCCTTCCTTCCTTCTTTCCTTCCTTCCTTCCTTCCTTCCTTCCTTCCTTCCTTCCTTCCTTCCTTCCACCCAGTCCACAAATCAACAAATAGTCATTCAGTGGCTTCTAGGTGTCAGACATTCTTCCGGACTCTATTCCAGAAAACAGCAGTAAAGAAAACAGGCTCTGCTCTCATGGATCTTACCTTTAAATGGAGACAGACAGTAAACAAGTAAATATATATTGCTACATGCTATGAGAAAAAATAAAGCAGTGGAGAGGAGCTAGGAGGTCCGGAGTGGGGGAGGGGTTCCTGTTTAATTTGGGGGGCGGTCAGAGAAGGCCTTGCTAATAAAGGACATTTGAGCAGAGACCTGCAGGAAGTGGGGTGGAGGGGCATGAGGATATCCATGGAAAGAAACTTCCAGGTAGAAGGAACAACAGATGGAAAAGGCTCTGGGGCCGGAGCATTCCTGATGTTCAAAGAATAGTGAGGGGCCCGAGTGGCTGCAGCAAGGAGAGGGAGTGAGGCAGAGGAGTGAGGGCAGGGAGGGAATGGAAGCCAGGCATTGGGGGGGGAGGGAGGTCTGGTTCGCCACTTGAAAAACTGCCCTTTGTGCTGAGTTGGACAAGAAGCCATTGAAGGGTCTGGGGAAAGGAGTGACTTGATCAAACTTCTGCGTCACAGGGATCACTCTGCCACTCTGTGTGGAACAGCCTGTGCGGGGACAAGGGCAGCAGGGAGGCCAGAGAGGCGGCTCCGCAGCAGTGTCGGCGGCTGGAAGGAGATGATCAGATCCTGAACGCGCCGTCCAGCCCTGACCATCTGGCGCACCGCTCTAGACGATCACTTCATACCTGCTAACCGCCCACGCCTCCTCCCCCGGCCTCACTCTCAGCCGATGGCCTTGTTTCCTGTTCCGTTGTGAAAACTCAGCGAGAGCAGAACATCTCGGGCTGCCGTCCCACACGTTCCCATCTCCCGAGGGCTGTGCCATGTCCTCCGCCGTGCCCCCCTTCCTGGGCGCGAACCCCTTTTGCTTCTGCTTGAACCATCTCTCCCGCCGGTGCCTGGACCCCACCCTCTCTCTCATGCTCCAGGATATTGCTCCGGCAGTTTTCCCCTCTACAGCATCATTCTCAATGACGGCAACAGGCTGCAGTCTCTCTACAAAGCACGTAGACCCCGCAGTCCACTTCAACTGCTGACTCGGAGCCTACATCAAAGCTCAAATCGCTGGTAGACTCACTCTCTCCAATCCCTCCCCTCCCTTTCTCTCTTGAGCCCACTCGAAGAGGCTTTGCCCCTAAAGAAGCTTCGGTCAGTGGCGCCGTGAGCACCATGTTGCTGAGCCTTGCCCTCCTCTTACTTGCTCTCAGTGGCACTTGACACAGTTGATCTCGTTTCTTTTTGAAACACCTTCCCACGGCTTCCAGAAACTCACTTCTTGGTTTCCCTACTTCTTCCGTCTCCTTTGCTGGCTCCTCATGTCTCCCCAGCCTTGCGGCTCGAGCACGCCCTGAATAGCTCTCCTCTCTCACCCGCTGCTCGCTGCAGGAGAAACTATGTGGATAGCGGGGTCCACAGGCCGTTGCCTATGAGCCACATCCAGTCCGATGTCTTTTTTTGTCTAGCCCACAGGCTAAGAATGATTTTTACAGGTGAACATTTGCCATCGAAGTGGTCACAGAGAACTCTGAACCCCAATTAAGCACAACGTTACTTAAAAGAAAGAATTCCATGCTTCTCATTAGTAAACCTATATATCAAAAATTATATTCAATTATTATTATTATATTTTTAAAATTCATCAGTAAGGATTTGTTATGTAAGTGTCTACATAATAGCCTTGATTTTTGCCTCTTGATTACAAAGCCCCAGATAGTTACTATCTGGCCCTTTTCAGAAAAAGTTTGCCAATCCCTGGTCTCAAATTTTGGGTTCTGCTGGTTACTGTCTCCTTACTCTTTATTTCCTCTCTCTGCCCCAAAGCCAAAAACATGTTCTTGTCTCCCCATCCTTTAAAACAACCATCACCACCCTCCTTTGTAAGGACTTTGCCCTCCATATACTATCACCCTCCAAGTGTTCACAGATTCTCCCATGGTAAGGAGGGAAAGGGATCTTAGATATTGAAATGTCTGAATCCATCTTCAGATCAGCGGTGTATTTACTGGGGTGCCAAATGTGCTTGGATGAATAAATAGTCAGTGAATGGATAAAAGTAATCAGTTTAATTTATCTCTGTAGGATTCCAGGAAGTGGGCATTATGTTCCTATAATACTGATCACCCAATTCACTCTTTCCAAACACAGCACCATAATTTGTTTTCATCATAGGACTAATTGGTGTGTAATATTCTCATGTTCTCTTATATTTGCTTTTTGCTCAGACAGTATAATATTCATGAGAGTAGACATCTTTTCTATTTAACATGATAGATACATTTATTGAATTCATCCATCCATCCACCCACACATACATTTATTTAAAGGATATTTACCAAGTATCTTTCTGTAAGCCTCTGGTGACCCAATAAAGAACAAGATACCATCCATGGGTGCCCTCACAGCTTACAGACAGAGAAACCATTGAAATGCTTATCCTACTGGTCCTTCTCACTCGCTCATCCCTCCTCCCCACCAAGTTCCCAACAAGTCAGAGGTGGAAAAACAAGAAAGGGAACACACTTACTCTGGCACTTCTCCGAAGCCTTCCAGAGGCTGCGCTTCAGCAGCGTAGATCTTGGCATAGTATCTGGCAGTATTTTGAACATAGCATTCCTGTATCACCCAAACACATGGGAAATCCAAGTGAGTAGAGGAAATTCAGAGAGTTGTTTGGTAAAGCTAATCCGTTTCCTAATGTAGGTCAAACCAGTGGATTCCCAAGCCCATCCCCTGGTTGGGGGCACAGAAGCAACAATTATTGCAACCTAGAGCTGGCCATGTGCAGAGGAGCTGAGACCTGAAGGAAGGGCCAGGTGAAGGTCAAGTGGTCTCTGGGGCCAGGTACTCCTGAATTATAAAATTTGTAGAACTGCATAGCTGAGGTTCAACCCTGAGCTCAGAGGACTGGCCCTGTGGCAGGATATCAGATAAAGCTTGGGGTTTGCTGGGTGGTTTCCCATGAGCTCCCCTATTTGAGGTTCTTCTTCAAAGCNCTCAGAGGACTGGCCCTGCAGCAGGATATCAGATAAAGCTTGGGGTTTGCTGGGTGGTTTCCCATGAGCTCCCCTATTTGAGGTTCTTCTTCAAAGCTGTAATTGGAGTTGTAAATAGGGAGCACCTTAACAAGGTTGTTGGTGTAGGAAAAGCAAATTGGATTCTGCTTTTCACTCTGTAAGGCATTTCCGAGTGGGAGTCTGGATGCTGGGACAATTTCTGTGACTGGGCCAGAGGATAATTAAGATGGAAGGAATGCTCAGTGAAAGAAAAGAAAAAAGAAGGGTGGATTTGGAGGGGAATGAAACACAATTGGCAAAGTCCTGTCCCCACAGAGGAGTGGCTGCCCTCATGAGCACCAAGCACCACATGACACATCCATGTCTTTGAGAATCATAGATGGTTAGTGCTTGACAGCACCCAAGAGGTTCATCTAAGTCTAATCTATTCATTTTGTAGGTAAAAAATTTTAAAGGGCACCTAGTTTGTAAAAGAACTAGACCCAGTGCTCCCAGAGCAAACTTGGCCAGTGCAGGTATCAAGAGTGAAATACACGGACCAAGGTGGGAGGGGAAGGCAAGGAAAGAAGCTAATGCTCTCCCCCTCTCCCCTCTTGCCTCAGGAGACCTGTGACTCATCAGCATAGAGAGGTGGGGACTTAATTAGAGACGCTCTCCCTTCGTAGCTTATGGCTGACATTGAACCAAACTCAGGAAGGCAGGAAACAGGACAAACGCTTCTGTCCTGTCCTTCTAAATATATCCCACCTCACTCCTCCTCCATCAAAAACAAAACACTCTGGGAACTACTCCTGATTTTAGCTGCCTTTGGGGATCTTGGCATCCAGTGTAGCTTAGGACCCCCACTTTCCATATCGCCCTCTGTCCAAGTAGATTCAAACCCTCGGGGACCTCATGGGGCTTCCCAGGAAATGATCTCAGCCCAGGTCAGAACTGGTGAGATGCCTCCAAACATACACTGAGTCGCATCTGTCTGGCACAAGGCCAAGAAATACTCCCAGGAACTGAGACGGGATTCCCAGCCACCCTATCACCATGCCCCAAAGGGAGGAAAACACCCTCTCGGAGACACTCCCATCAACTCTGAGTCTGATGATCACGGGTCCTTCTCTTACCTCAGGTGACACCATCGGGGCAGGAGGACCCACCTGGGCAGCGAGGTTGTAGTTCCTCTGGACAAGCTCATCGTTGTTCCTGGTCCCGTAGGCCACGGCATTGTGCACCTTGAGCACGCAGGGGTGGCCGGGCTGGAAGACGGGCGTGAGGCCTCGCATGACCTTGCTGCGGAAGGCTTTTCGGTGGACGCCTTCCCCGAAGTGCAGCTCCTCTGTGGCGATCTGACCTCGCAGGCAGCCCCCGAAGTAGCTGTCCTGGAGGAAGTCTTCTCTGAAGATAAGCTGGCTGAATTCGATCTCTTCACATCCTAAAACGTAGCTCAAATTTAGTTGTATACCACATCCTTCTCAGCGACCCATGTCCCCATCTTATCTGTGAGCTATGCCTCTGTTGGGAGTTACGTTCCCCTTCTAGGTTCTACAGGTCACCCTTGTCACTCTCCCTATGTGGGAACATTGATTAACCAAGGAGCAGGATTGAGGGATATCTGAAGATCAGTGTAAGGCCCAGTGGATCAGATAAGAAGCGGGGAAGATCCGTTGGAATAAAGTTGGGGAGACCAGGAAAAGAATTGTACACAGATCTGGAAAATATAAGCAGAACCATGAGAGGTAATTAAAGGTAAATTGAAAAGACAGGTGAAGTGAAGAGGGGGGACCAATAATAACATCTGGCAGACTGATGTTTCTCAACCTTTTTTTCACCCTTTTCAGACTTTTTTCCTAATTTCCCCCATAAAATTTTAATGCCGCAGATGTACTACATGTCTACTTATGTATATCTGTGTTTTATACACACACCAAAAAAGTTTTCTTGCCTCCCCAAGAACCAGTTTTGCCCTCTTGGGGGTGAAAGTGCCTTCTGAGAATGCCTGTGGCAGCTATTAGAAATAGGTAGGCAAAAACTGAAACAAAACAAAACAAGTAAAAAGAACTGCCTTTGGGGAGAAATTGATTTTTGATTTATTTGTAAAAAGAAAAGTAGAAATGCCCAGCCAGTGTGGCTCAGTGGTTGAGTGTTGACCCATGAACCTGGAGGTCACAGGTCGATTCCCAGTCAGGGCACATGCCCAGGTTTCAGGCTCAGTCCCCAGCAGGGAGCATCCAGGAGGCAGCCCATCAGTGATTCTCTCTCATCATTGATGTTTCTATCTCTCTCTCTCCCTCTCCCTTCCTCCCTCTGAAATCAATAAAAACATACTTTTTTTAAAAAGTAGAATTACTTTTTTGTTTTCTAGCAGCTGTTTCAGAGTTGATTCTGCACATGGTTCAGCTGACAATAAATTCAATCAGAATGTTCCATTTCAACCTAGAAGTGACTATGACAGACTTCTGATTGGCTAAGAGAAGAAAGTGGGGGGGTTTGCAATGAAATAAGATTGTTCAGATTTTTTAAATGCCTTCCACTCCTCAAAGTCAATGAAAACTGTCATCATTCTGAATGTTTAAACAAAGGCATCATGGGTTGTGTGAAAATCTCAATTCACAGTTCTATTTAGAATATCTAGAGAAATATTTTTCTCTTGTTAAAAGAGATTTACAAATCATACCTTTTAAGAGCAGTCTATGACCAACGCTGTTATAATTATAAGGAAGCTGAAACTATTCTTAAGAGTGTATTTACTACATGGTGTTTCCTTCAAAATCCCAAAATTTCTAAAATTCAATTATTCTTAAAAGTAAGAAGTTAGTGAGCTTTATGCTTAAAAGTCATCAAACTTAATATTCCAGACCATATGCTTAGAAATAACAAGGAATATTTTTTACACAGTACTTTATATGGTATTAACAATCCAGTCTATAATTTTCAACCAACACATCTACTTAACAAAGATTTTAAAAATTTAAAAATAAAAAAATCTTAGGAGTTTTCTTTGAAAGTCCTGTGCACTATCATTAAGTTGCGCTAGTTTGTGTTTTATTTGGACCATCATTTGTTTTGGGCTTTCCTGTATGCTTACTTTTATTGATTTTTTCTTTTTTCTTTCCTTTTTTTGTTAATCTTCATTCAAGGATATTTTTTTCCAAGAATTTTTAGAGAGAGTGGGAGGGAAGGGGGGAGAGAGAGAGGAGAGAGAGAGAGAGAAACATTGATGTGAGAGAGACATCGATTGGTTGCTTCCTGCACACACCCAGGCCAGGGCTGGGGATTGAACCTGCAACCCTTTGGTGTATGGGCCAATGCTCTAACCACTGAGAAACACTGGCCAGGGTTGATTTTTTTTTTTTAGAGATTGGAAGGGGGAGAGAGAGAGAAACATTGATGTGGGGATACAAGCCTGGTATATGCCCTTACCGGGAATCAAACCCACCATTTTTTGGTGTACAGGACAATGCTCCAACCAACTGAGACACACCAGCCAGGGCATCCCATGAACTTAGTTTTATTAGTTTATTAATTAGAGTCCAACTTGTGTTATTTGTTCTTCTTCCTCCCAGTCCAGCCTTATGAGTCACTGGAACTGGGAGAAGCTGGGAGAAGGTGACGTCATCAGGGTCTAGACCCAAGCCCTTCAGGTCAGAGTCAGAGGGCTACAACAGGGGCACCATTTCCACTAGGTGGCCAATAGCTTATCCCCACTGGGGTCTCACTCCTGACTGGTAAAAACCTTGAGAAATGAGTTTCTGCAAACCTAAATTGATAAGATCATAGCAAGTATCTGGGGTGGGACAGCTAAGAAATGCTAAGAAGCTGATGAAACAACAACCCTTCTTCTAAAGGTCGTTCTGTTTTCTGAAAGATCAGAAGGAAGGGCATTTTTTTGCGTATTTTGATGCTTGGAGAGATAGGAGCAGAAGTAGGGGAAGGATTTAAAATTAGATCACAAGTACAGTCCACAGTAAAGACAGGGAGTTGGCATTTGAGTGGGTTTGCAAAGAGTTGGTATCTAAATTTGCTGTTTTGGGTAAACATCACAATATTTGCTAGAGCATTTGGAAGTCGAGATCCCAGCTCCTTGTCTTTCATGTCCTGAATGCTACTGTATCTTGATTGCCTTTACTGTCCTGTTTTCACAAAGATTTCAGGTATTCACTTTACAAATCAGCACATGAGGCAAATCTTTAAGGTGCAAAATCAAGCCCAGTAGGCCTGGCTCAGCGGTTGAGCGTCGACCTAGGATCCAGGTGATCGGGGTTCGATTTCCGGTCAGGGCACATGCCCGGGTTGTGGGCTGCAGCTGATCAATGACTCTCTCATCATTAATGTTTCTATCTCTCTCTCTCCCTCTCCTTTCCTCTCTCTGAAATCAATAAAGATATATTTAAAAAAAAAAAAAAAGATGCAAAATCAATTTCATGATCAGAGTTTTATTCATATTTCTCCTAAGAGTGACCAAGGGTCTACACTGCTACACTGTGCCCAGAGCCTTGGAAGCATGGGGTGAGGGGGACCGAGAAATGTGATGGCCTGACTCCCTCCAGCCTCTGAGAGCTGACTGTGGGCATCTCTTTCCAGCTCCAGTTCTCCTGATGTCACATTGTCGGTTAAAAATTGGACATGGTGAGATTATTTATACCACAAAAATTGGAAAACTATATAATTCAGCTCCCCTGCCCCTCAAGTCATGTTGTTAAAAATTTACCAGCACACCACTAGGTGGGGTGGGCATGTGTGTGGGAATGGGTAATTTTCCCTAAAAGGAATTACACGGCAAGCATGGACTCCACTAAATTGTACTCAGTGGGTGGCCCAGGGGCAGCGTGAGTGTTTGGGAGCAGCTGGTGGGCCGTTGCTACACCAGGTGTGCAGGAGTGCCAAAGGAGAGCCCTGAAACCAATCTTTCACTTTCATTACGATGCAAATGAATGGAGTCCTCCTAGACACCTGGCTCTCTTTGGGAATCTGCTCAGCTAGTCAAAGGGAAAGTAAATTGAAGAAACAAAATGTGTCACATAAGTGCCAGAGGCTGAACAACCCCATGCAGATGGCTGAACATTAGTCTGATGCTTCAAGGGAAAACTGAACTCCAAAGTCCCCCTCCACATGTTTCCGGCAACCACCCACTATAGTGTGATCTCTTTAATAACTGATACACTTCTGGATATTCCTGGCCTAGAGAACTTACAATAGGCCTTTCAATCAGGTTGAAATGGCTTGTGAGTTTTCATTCATCCCTCAGTCATTCCTAAGCTCTCTCTTATTTGGTTAGAAGAGTCCATAGGAATATTCCTTCTACCATCGACTCCAGGAGCTATTTCATGCCTTATGGTGGGCCCAGTCCCCTGACATCCCACTCAGGTTAGCTTACCTTTACTATCCTTGTGACTGGCAAGTTGTTTGAGAACTGGAAGAAGATACAGAACAGAATGCCTTCAGTACAATGAACACTCTTAACTGGTAGGGGCTAGTGGTTCTCATTTATTTGAAACTGAAAAGCTGAGGTTTACCTTCAGTGGTGAGGTTAAATTCAGCAGTCACTTTTCCGTAACTATTCTTGATGCAGCAGTAATAGAGGCCCTGGTCCTTCTGACTGGCTTGAACGATCACCAAGGACACAATGGAGGTGTCTCCTGCGCTGAAGTGGGGCACATGAACATTGGCACGTGTCATCATTCTGAAGTTGCATTTTCTAATACACTTAAGGCAAAAGGAACTAATGTCCCTCAGATCTAGTGTTTTCAGCCAATGAGCTGGTTAAAGGACAAGATCGTGATAAACTGTTTAAATCAATTCTTTATCTGTAGGGGATGATCAGTCCAATTTTGTTTTAACACTCTCACTCCCATATGCAATATTAATACACATAAGCATTTGGGAGGGTCGACTGTCATTAATAAAGCAAAGAACTAGAACTGTGAATTCTGGGGGCTGATCAGAACTTCGGATCAGAATTCACCTTAGTTATGTTACTAATCCAGGTGACTTGTGCTTGAAGGAAACCCAAAAACTTCAAACCCACATATAAACCTAGACTCAGTATGGGCAAGAAAAACTAGAGATCATGATGATGATGATGATAATGATGATGATGATGATGATAGCTAATGTATACTGAGCACTTGGTATGTACCAGGCATCTATTTCATGTAATCCTTAGAACAATCTAAGGTTGGCTGGGTGGATGGACGGATGGATGGATGGTATTCACTAGGGGAATACACTATTTAAAAGAGCTCTCATCCGTCCTAGGGGTAGATGCTTATCCCCCTCAACAGCGGCTATTTTCTGCGACTACATGGATTGCCTTTTCCTTCTGATTCACTTTATTTGATCTTTGTCAGGTCAATGGAAATTTGTGAAACAGAAAGCACAGCAAAATTCACAGACATACAGAAGACAGCTCTTAAATCTTGGGGTCACAGAACCTCAGACTAGAAGACGATTTGACGTGTTCCCCTAAATGTAATGAAAATGTTATGATTTTAAAAATTTAAATTTAAAAATGTAATTTGAAAGATTTTAAACCACATTTTTAAACACAATGAAAGGTTTCATGATTTCCTAAGGCCACAAGAACTCGATGGTGGCAGAGCCAGGGCAAGAACCCACCACATTTTTCCTGTTCGGACACCTGTCTTCCATTACTTACTCCTCTTGGATACTTTGGGTGTGGAATTTCTACTCAAATCTCCCTTTTCACTTCCTCTGATGTATTATTTTGTTATTTTATTGTTTTATTTTAGGACTATGTTGTGAAATAAGCAACAACTATGGAAAGTATCCAGGAGCAAATACCGCACCTTCTCTGCACTTGGGCTATTGACTTTGAATCTTTTGTCCACCAGATGGTAGAATCTTCATGAATTTCTGCAAACTGGCAGCTCAATCTTACATTTCCAGAGTGGTCAGGGAACATCTCGGCTTGGATCTTTTTCAGTAACACCGGAGCTAGAAATGAGAGATTGGCAGGTCAGTGTTCTTATAAAAGTTGCAAAGAGCTTTACAGTGGGCAAAAGACTTTCCCATCTCATCTCACTTAATTCTCACAACAATCCCAAGAGACCAGGATAATAATTATGGCTCTCAATTTTTGGATGAGAAAACCAAGTCTCTGAGGGGAGATGTGGCTTGCCTAAGCACTAAGAAAGTGAACAATCAATCTAATTACTTTTCATTACTTAAAATCCCTTGAGTAAGGTCTGTAATGTGCAATGTGAAATATAACTTGAGGGACATTTTTTTTAGAAGACAGGGGAGGAGAAGGATTTTAGATACCTAGTCTATAAGACCCAGTTCAAATAAAATGCTTTTAAATGACCACCAGATGGTCCAGGTCAAAATCAGAGCTGGGGATTAGGGAGTAAATCTGGGTCATCCCAATAATTGTGGTTAAGCCCTCAGAAGTAAAAGGCAACTCAACAATAGTTATTTGCTGAAAAGTACTCATTCATCTTTTCTCTGACTACTGTTGCCTTTGCCAAAGATTACTGTTATGTCTGATGTTCATTAGTAAAAGAGAAATCTCTACATGAATGAAATAGGGACAATAAGGAAATGATTCCCAGAGCTGGGGGGAGACATTTGAATATAGCTTTTTAAAATCAGAGATGAGTTCACCATGCCGGGCAAATGTAATTACTCAGGGTAGCCACTGGGAGGCAGCATAGACACTGGAAAAAGACTGGGATGGAAGACCCAGCCAGGTGGTCAGAGTCCTTGGGCAGTGGGGTTACTGGAAATGTGGAGCCTGTCAGTTAGAGACCAAGCTCCATAACTCCACAGCTTTGGTAATAAAAAATATGTAATCCACAGCCAAGACAAAAGTCATCATACTGATACTGTTTGCTCTGTTCCCTCGATTCCACTGCTGTGAAATAGCTGATACGTTAAGCATGCCTCCCATCTCTGCTTGATGCCAACAGGCACTTGGATAACAGAATTCATACTTATAGGCTTATTTTCTTCCCGGGAAGTGCTAATGGGCTGGTTGGGTAATACATCCTTTAACTAGAGAGTAGGTGAGGGTGCTAACAATATTACGGCAGAGAGAGAAAATATACCAAGTGTTTCTTGATGGCAAATCCCATTTCCACTAATTTGGCTCTACTGGCTCCTGCTGGCTCTGCTGGGCATTCAGGCCCACAGTCTCACGCTCTCCGTCCAGAGTCCTGACCAAGCCCACCTCGTCTGGTACCCATTTCCTCAAGAGCCCTTCCAGCACCATGTGGTGACAGTTTTCACGGGTGATGTGTGGAGACCTAAATGTTCCTGGGGTTGCCAACCCTGTCCACTCCCTGTTGTAAATTCTAAATACAGAGAAAATTAGGGGACAGAGGAAAGGGCATAACATGAGGGTCTTTGAGAGATGCAAAGCTGGCCTGGACAAGAGGCCTCAGGGCTTTGGAAAGGAGCCCTGTCTGTGAAGGAGCGAAGAGGAGGCCTGGGAGTGTAGTTGTACTAAGTATTGAATGTCAAAAAAAAAAAAAAAAAATAAAAGCATGGGAGCTCTTAGGGAAATAAGTGTTTTTATCATTAAGGCGTGTAGCTTCTATGGAAATTTGACCATTTGCTTGTGCATCCTAACTGTAAGCCATCCAAGCATATTTAATATACCCAGTGACTTTAATCAATATTCTAATCTATGCAGTTCTCATAGTTTCCATCCCATGTAGACTCATAGGCCTTTGAAGTTGAGAGGGCTTTCGTATATCCTTGAGTTCACCTTCCTCATTTCATAGGTGAGGAAACTAGCCCACATGAAGTTATNAACCATCCAAGTCGTCCGCCACCCCCAAGTCCTACTTGACCAGGTCACAGTGCGAAGGCAGCACCCTCCCCAGAGGCTGTACCCGCCTTCGCGGCCCTTCGAGCTCCGGGAGGCTGGGTGGCAGCTGAGAGCGATCAAACTCCGCAACAGCGCGTGTTGTTAGACTGTCCCTGTCCCTGTCCCTGTCCCTGTCCCTGTCCCTGTGGGTAACTTGAATAACTATGGAGAAACATTCAAAATAGTGTCTCCATCCGGGGGAAACCCGCTTTAGAGCTCTTTGAGAGCATTGCTTCATTCTCTTTAAATGTGCTTAAAAACTACACACTAGCAACTGGCTGGATCCCTCCAAACCCTTTGGAAGGTAGTTTTGCATTTAATCCTTCCTGGAACAGCGCTGAGGGCCCGCGGGTGTGGATGGGGAATGACAAGCGCCACCCAGAAGCCTGAGCCCTCGGTAGGTAAAGAGGGGCACCCCCTCCCCTGGAGCTGAGGGGGCCACAGCGCTCTGCTCCAGCACACGGAGGACCACCTGCTGCAATGTCTCCTCTTCTGACTTCTACCAGCTTGCACGGTAGAAGGGCTCTGACATAAGAGACTAAAATTCAGGTCATAGGATGAAATTTGGGGTTAACGTGATTCCCCGGGAAAAGCAGAAGTGACGGCAGTTACAGCGGCTCTGTGCCTCCAGGGTCTGAAACCTGGAACAGACGCCCCCGGAGCCTTTAGACCCAGATAAGGCGAAGGGTGAGTTGGAAAGAAATTTATACTAAAATCTGGAAGGAAACCCAATGTTTAATGAAGTCATTTTTAATGAAAATCAAGTGATTAAAGAAGAGACTCCCAAATTGTACCCAAATGTTTATTTCTGGAAATCCTACTCAATGTGTGGTCTATTGAATTATACTAATTAGCTATACTGAGTAATGCTTCTGCTTATCTTTATAAAATATTTTAAAAGGGTAATTAAACAAAAGGGCATCTTAATCGCACTCCCTCCACTTGATGTACCTATAGGCAGCCTATAGGAGAGGCTCTCCCCACAGACCACCTGGGAACCTGTTAGAAATGCAATTTCTTGAGCCCACACGTGGAATCAAAGCCCTGGAGGTGGAGCCCCGCACTGTATTTTTTTTTTTTTTAATATGTCTTTATTGATTTGAGAGAGAGGGAGAGAGAGAGAGAAACATCAATGATGAGAGAGTCATTGATCGCCTGCCTCCTGCACGCCCCCCACTGAGGATCGAGCCCGCAACGCGGGCACGTGCCCTGACCAGGAATCAACCCATGATCTCCTGGATCCTAGGTCAATGCTCAACCCCTGAGCCACGCCAGCCGGGCCCTGCACTGTATTTTAACAAGCCCTCCAGGTGATCCTGAGGCCGCTCAAGTTCGAGAACCAGGGTTCCATATGCCCAGCCATTTGGTCAGAGCCATGTGTCGATGCCCACCTGGTCGACACTCACCTTAACTGCCAAGGACTCAGGAGGACCCAGGAACTTGACATCTGGCCAACAAACCCAAACTTTAACAGTGATAGAAAGCAACAGAGCCTCACCTTTTCCTTCCCTTTTGCAAGGTGGCTTTTGGGGGTCTTTTTTCTCATCTGTGCGTGATACTGACATTTCGAGTTTAGGAATCTTTTTAGGAAAGCCCGAATTCTTTCTGGCCTTTTCCCTTTCTTCCAGTCTCAGCCTCAGGGCGGCCACCTTGGACAGAATCTTCTTCTTTACTCCATCAGCCAAATGTCCACTCCCTGCAATCTCCTGTTTCTTCATGGCCTCCTCCCAAGCAGGCACTGCGGACCTGCCCGTCTGGGCTGCCATGGGGCCGGGCCTCCCCTCCCCTGACTTTCTCCCAGGGCCCAGGGTGGGGGCCAGGTGACATGGGTCCTGCAGTGTCTTAGGAGCTGTCTCTGACACACGTTCTCCTGAAATGAATGCCAAAGTCAGTCCTGGGGAGCCGGGTGGGCTTGGGGGTTTGGTTTGCCCACTTTGGGGAGCCTCTGTTCCAGGTTCCTGAATTTTGTGACTTATTGAAACATTTGTGATGTTGCTTTCAGGAGATGAAGTAAAAGGCAGCTGGGTGAGACCACTGGGAGAGGGCACATGTTTCCCAGGCTCACTCTCTAGCTCTCCCCTCTCCTGTGAGTCAGAAAATGGGTGTGGATGGTTTCTGGGCTCTGCTGAATGGTTCTCCGGGACGTCATGAATTTGACCTGCGGTGTTGTCAGTGTCAACTCCACCAGATGCCTGAGCAAGGACGACGAGGCCGCTGGAAAGGGGTAAAGTGGGGAAAACAACACCTGCTCCCTCATTTTCACTCTGCTCAGCCTCCCCCGAACCCCTCTCCTGGCCTTCTTGTGCCTGGCTTCCGCTGCATCCACTCGGAATTGTCGCCCCACCGTCACCAGGGTGTGGGACTTGCAAAACGATGGGTGGGACTTCTACTTCGGCTTTGTCATGTTGGCTTTGTTCAGCGTCCCCTCTCTCACCGGCTTCTTGGTTTCGGTTGGTGCTGTTTTCGCTTGGAATGGTTTCCCCGCTTTGCTGGGGGCACGGGGCTGGAGAGATGGCAGGTGTGACTTCCAGGCTCTGGCCCAGGTTTCCATCATCCAATTTACTCTCCTCTCTGATGACCCCCAGTGTGCAGTCGGAAGGCTCCTGGGTTTCCACCCTGGCTGACTCCACCACACCTATCTCATCGATGGGATCCACAGAGGACTCGAGGATCTCATGGCAGGTCAGAAACTGTTTAAAGAAGGCAGAGTGATCCTCTCTGAGTTGGTTTTCCCCTTGGCTTTGACTCACATTGTTAACCTTTTCCTGCCCTCCCGTTCTGGAAGCCTCTGATGGCGAACCTGTGACATGTTCATCTACAGGGTCCACAGACGACTCCAGGAACCGCGGTTGGTTCAAGTACTGGGAAGAGAGGCAGCTCCAATGTGTACGCCTGGCTAGTTTCCTACCTTCATGGGTTTCTCTGTCATTAGCGAGGGCTGAGCCAGCCTCAGCCTGGGGACCTGCAGCCAATGCTGCTGGTTCAGAGGGGGCGAGTTCAGGCCCAGCAGCACCCACCTTTAGCATGTCAGCTACAGCCCAGGCCCCGGCAGGCGTCATAGCACCAGCTTCTGACGACTCGCACTCAGAACCTGCCGGCTGTCTTGGTGGCCAGACCTCAGTAACAGAAGCCTCTAGATTTGCAGTCTTGGGCTTGTCGCCTGCTTCCCAGTGCCCTAGTCCACTCTCTTTAGACTCCTCCAGGAGGCTATGGGACAGAGGTGGAACACTGCTCACAGCCTGACTGTCATCTTCCACAGCAGCTCTAACCACCACGGGCACGCTCGACCCCAGGCCTGAGCTCTGCCTTCTTTCCTCCTTGGAGTCTGCAGACGAGTGGTCCAAGGGCACCGGGCTTGTTTCCCCTTGTGTGGCAGATGTCACAGGCCAACTTCCTTGGAAATTACCTTCAGAAAGAGAACCCTGGTGGGGCCGGCTCTCCTGCTGGGTCCTCTCTGTTGTTTCACTTCCTTTCTCCTGGAGATTCTCTCCAAGGCTCCTATTGTCTGCTCTGTCCATGGTCTGGCTCTGAGCTGCAGACTGGTTATCAATCTGAAGAGGGGAATTGCCACAGAAATCTCCCTCTGGGGGCGGCAGGGCACAGACATGGTCTCCTGGTCCACTGGGAGCCGTGCAAAGCTCTTTGGGAGATTCAGTGGTGGAGCCATGCAAAGTATGACCTGACTGTACATTGGAAGGAAGTTGAAAAATATTTCCATCTGGTACCTGAGAAGAGCTCTCCTCGGGGCCATCTGCGTGGCTCTTCTCAGCGATTGAAACAGGGAGATATTTGGCTGGGTGGACTTTGGTGGAAATGGTACCAATTGGTGTGTCCCCACTCTCCCTGGTCACCTGAAGACACTCAAGATTAGCAGTTAATGTTGTTGGCTTCTCCTGAGGAAGCATCACAATTGAGCTGTGACTGGTTGGTGTGTCCATGGCGTCCAGGGCATTGGGTCTGGGGCTCTCAGCACCGTCTTTAAACCACACCAGAGAATTCACAGAAGATAGAGTCTGTGTTTCCTCAAGCCCTTCCAAGATGCTGGGGCTCGGCCTCTCCTGTCCCACGGAGGCCACGGTGGAGATGGAATTCTCCACCTTGGCTAGATGTTCCCCTGTGGACACTTCACTGGCTTTTGGTGAAATATTCCAGGTGAGGGCATCACTAGGTGCAGGAAACATGATTGAGTTTCCCTCCTTGTGGCTTTTGTCTATGCATTGTGGAGGCTCAGAACCTTGTGTCTGAAGAGCGATGTTCAGTGTCTTGTCATTAGGAAAACATAGATCAGATACTTGACTTTGACCTTCTGCCAGCTCTAAGTCCATGGAGCAAATTTCTTGAGGCAAATATTTATGAACTGGGACTCCAGCAGGAGAATCCATGGTATCAAGTGTTCCTTGGTCACTTGCTTCAAGATGCTCCACCAAACACTCTGCATCTCTGCTCCCTGGCCCATGGCACACAGTTTCCAGGGCGGGGAAAACATCTGCAGGGGAAGCAACAGAGAGAGCCTTGGGCTCCCTGGGGCCATCGCTGCCCTTCTCGGGGAGATGCACTGAGAGCTCACAGGGGGACATAGTGGCATGACTGGCCTCTGGGAAGTTCTGCTCATGTCCTGGGTCTTCCCAGGAATGTCTAGGTGTGTTGTCTTCTCTGTCTTGGTTTTCTTCATGCTGTGGGCCTTGAGTGCAGCTTTCTATCCCCAGGTATTGGGTCAATGGTGCATTTTCCTCGTCGATCCCTCTTAAGTTGGGGAAGACATCTGCTGTGGTCCCAGTAAATGCAGACTCCTCCCCGGAAAACCCCAAGAAAGCTGGCATCTGGCTGAGAGAGAGTCTCTCCTTGATGGTTTCCGGAGCTTGCACCTAGGAAGGTGAAAAGTGATGTCAATAGAGTTGTTCCTGGGAGAGCCCAAAAGGGGCATTACTGCAATCACAAGAGTGTTAATCCTCGAGGGCTGTAGTAAGGACAAGAGGAGCAGCAGGAATAACTGAAATCCGAACATTAATCCCCAGACTCGCCCTAGCCATTAGAGACTTCCTGGAGAAGTGCAAATTTAAACAACTGTATGTTCCAGGGATCCTTAGTCAAATTGCCCATTATAAGCAGAAAGCCTCCCAACAATCATCAGTTAATGATTTTTTTTTCTCTCTCTCTCAAGGAAAAAAAGATGAAAATAAATTGAATGTTAACTATTGTGATCAAGTAAGTCCTAAGAGTTTGTGTGTACCTTTCCAGAAAGATGAATTTCCCATGATCATAGCAAATGAGAAGTGCAGTGTTTGTAAAGCAGCAATGAGCGATCTTCATCCCCATATCTGACAGCCTGCAAGTTAATAATGTTACTAAAAAACAGAAAGGCCCATCCTTGGAGCCCACCTCTAATGGAGTAATAGGGTTATGATTGGCCATCAGCGCTGCCAATCATTTCTGCCCCCGGAAGGTTTGTCACTTCCAGTGGGAAACAGGACAACAATATGACCACACCTCCCTCATACTGCCCCAAGGCTGTTTATAGCCAGCAGGGATTCACCTCTCATTTTCTCTTAAAAGCTACCTTGATGTTCATTTCACTCAGTTTTTATTGGCATGAAAGTGCTAAATGAACAAGAAGAAATTTAGTATAATTTTTGGTACTATTAATTCCATGAGTGCTCATCGAGTCAGCAAGTATTTATTTAATACCTCCAGGGTACTAGGGAGAAGCCCAGGTGATGAGGGTACAATATGGGCAAAATGCCCATCTGCAGGGTGTTCCCATTCTAATTGTATTCAAGGCCTGTCACAGGGTTAGCACCGAGCAGGTGTCACACGGTTAGTGCCGAGCAGGTGCTCTGCAAGCACTTGTTGAAAGAAAAGACGTGAATGAGCCATGCACCAGGTGAGAGCTCTACCCAACTTCACCCATTCAAACTCCACATCGGAAAGGTTTGGGCTCATCTGCTCCCGACGTTGGGACAACTCTATTTTAAAAGAGACTTAACCGTATGCAGGGGCAGGTGCTGGTCCACATCCTGATGTCTCTAAAAAAACAAATGGATTTACTCTTTTTCTAGATCCTTTTATTTCTCTCTCATCATATTAAAGGGGAAAACAAAAAAGGTGATCTCTAGGAAATAAGCAGCAAAGTTTTTAAAAAGCATTACGGAGTTAAGTGTGTACACCTCTATACCTGGCCATCTGCAATGCATGTAGGGAATGTTCTTTTCATTTGCTATTTTGGTTCAGATTTTTTTATAGCACAAATATACTGAACTACTTAAGCACAGAAAGTGTGGGTGGCTTCCTGGTCATGATTTGAGATGTGCAAGGACACTGTCTAATCAAAAACACTACAGCCCTGTCTCGAGCCTTCCTCTCCTGCCTAAATTTCCACTACCTACGTCAGTCCTTTATTTTAAGATCTTGCCATCATCACAATGCTATCAGTGCCATAGACATTTATGGAGTAGCTGCCATGTATGAATTCTCTGCCAGGACTGAACAAATTCTTCCAAAGGGCTCAAGTTTAAAAGCCACTATGCCACTTACTGGGATGTTACCCACTCATTATTGCCTGCTGCCATATTGACGGAGTTATAGCGAAGAGATGAACACCTAGAGAGGGTAAAACACAGGACAAGTGAGCTTTGAGTAGGGTGAGTGGAATGTATTGGAATATATTGTCCTAGCCATGGTATTGTGCCTGGATTGACCAAATAGTCATGTTCCTGTTGAGGTATATTCACTCCTCCTCTTTTGCTTTTAAAATAAAATCCTGTTTTCA